TGAATTAATCCTAGCCAGAGTCGCTGGAATTGGAACAGATTGCCTCGTAAATGGTGTCAACAAGAACACTTCGGTAAAGCCACTCGATCGTTGGTCAGGCGGAATCCGTCGTCGTCTTCTGGTGGGTTCTACCTTCTCCGACCACATCGCCGGACACTTTCACTCGAACCGGAAGCAAACCCAATAACTGGTTTAGCGGTCCTTTGCGATGCTTGCTATCCACTTTCTCGAGTGGAAGCTTCTAGCGATATTTGATCCCAGTTATTTGATGGTCGGCAGATCGTGTATTCTTAGTCGAAGGCATGAGGATCATGGTAGTTTGACCTTTAGTATGGTCGCGGTCTCCTTTTCTTGTGTAGATGTTGTTTTTGCAACTTGGTCGTATTGTCATGGAGACACAGAAGAACGCACCTTGTCCGGCGTCGTCTGTCAGCCTTGCCATTCTTTGCATCACATTACAATTGGTCAAAGGACTGACTTTGTTTCTCTCCTTGACGAGTGGCGGTGTGTGGCGGTGGTGGTGGACTCCGGACAATGTGCGTTCCTCCAGGTCGCCCTAGCAATACCAAAAAAGTTGTGAAAACAACGTCAATTCATGCTTAAGCCTATAAAATGGAGTCATTTCGACGAAGTAAACGTTCATTTTTCTGTTCACTATTTGAGAACGCATTTGCTTGCTTACATGTTTTCTGATTCATTTTCTCTCCTCAGTCCGAGACAGACGATTTCCCATGCAATTTCCACTCTACATTTGTTGCTTCAAAGGAGACCTGTTGGTAACTCTCTATTCCGCTTAATATGCCAAATAAGTAAATGCACCACTCTCACCTCTCAGACTATTCAGCCCATTTGACCTTATATATTGCTTTATTTGAGCCTAGTCGGACATGCTTGCGTTATCAATTCTTTTTGCTCTTTTCTTCTGCCTTACTAAGTCTCCTAGACAGATCGGCTACGAAGTAAGCTACCACTGAACCATTTGAAGCCCTGCCTTTTTGGCTGTTCCAGCTCGTTTCTGTTCTGGTTGGCCCTTTTACTCGCCTTCATTCATCATCAGTGTGTTCATTGTTGCCACCGCCCACTGCACCCTCCCTCCCTAACGCTGCTGACCACTCTAATCCTGCTCCTCATATCACACTTCTTTCCGGCAGAGACGACCTTGGTGTGCTCCGGAAATCCTGCCTAGCACCAGACGTATGCCCGAAAACAGGTGAATAACAAAACTCCTTAAATGTTCCTTTTATTTTGGTCTGTTAAGCCCGGCTTTAGATTCTCCCATCCCCACATGATGATCGGAATCCATTAAGTCTATCACCATTAAAAGGACACCACTTTGTCAGGAGTTTATTTCATTTAGGCCTAGCGCCGGCTGAGTTCAGGCTTGCCATGAAAAGCGTGCTCTTTGTGAAAGCTGATTAATCTACAGGCAAGTCGGTTCGAATAAGAGTCATGGTCAGTCGGGGTGAGAATGAGACCAGATTCGAAGGTCGGTTCCACCGGAAGACGACCAGCTGTCGATTGGCTTTACTGGCAGATTCATGCTGACGCTGTTTCCGAGGCAATCTCCTTCGATCCTGGTGAAAAGGTGCTAAACTTTCGTCTGTCAGAGCAAGGTATCATCGTCACAACCAAATTGAAGCTAACGAGTCAAGAAAACTCACTGGCAAGTCCCTAAAAAGTGGTATAAATATTCTATATCTGGCCTCTTTGATCAAGTTCAATGTTGTGTGGTCATGTGATGATGTCTATGTGGGAGAGACATGCCAACCCATCCAGAAGAGATTGTGTAAACAAATAAACTGTTAGACAAAGTGTATGGGAGCGAAAATGTGAGCTTGCTGAACACGTTGCCGAAACCGGAGTGTGTTTGGTGAGGAGATTCGAAGATCAAATCTGCCAGAAGACGATAGCTGTCGATTGACTTAATCCGAGCCCATTCAGTTTATGATCTCAATCATCACTATCGGCGAATCGTATGCTTAGTATGCTCATTGATCGTGGATGTTTACAGATCAGAGCCTGTGAGAAAGTGAGCAGAGGTACATAAAAATCAACACGCACTGGCAGTATTCGTAATTTCTTCTCAAAACCATAGTTACAAAACGAAGTTTAGCGTTTTACAATGTATGATTATCCGGAGCACAAGACTAGTCGATAGAGACCATTGTGGCTCAAACTAGTCTTTCTTGAGAATAATTATCGCCTAGATCTGATTGAAAATAGCATTCTATGAATAAAGAATACCATTTTGAATAGTTGATACGTAAGGATACGCAAGAGATAAGGAGCATTTTCGCTGAAAGGATAGGCGAAATCGTAAAAAGTGGAGAAAAAACACGGTTTTCAGGAAAACTTCGACATTTTGAGAGAGAAAGTTGACCCATTATCCAGATTGAGTTGCTACAGCATAATGTGTTCATGTTGTCACTTTTATGCCTGAGAGACGTGTGGTACCATTCTACAAAAGGAGGCTGAGCACACAAATAAAGTTAGGTCTAGCCGAGCGTACGACAGAAACTAGACATGAGATTTGACGTTCTGAGACTTGTCGTTTTGCCGATTACGGCATGTCTGCGGCTAAACGTAAAATGAGAGAAACCATAAAATAAACCGAATTTCGGAATACATTGAATGCAAGAAATACCGGCAAAAAGTCAAGTGAGCACCGTTTATGACTCAAGGACAAAAAAGAGGTTGGGCCATTCGTGCATAAGCGAACAAAAACATGCACATACAAATACAGAGACATACACACTCACATGCATCAAAGTTGACATATGACCTTAACTAACCAAATC